TACCAGGCTAAGGCCAGCCTAAAGGCATAATTTAAGATGTACAGGATGTAACTGATTTTAACCTCCTAAGTGCTTTATTCGAACGAATGGAAAAAACAATCACACAACTGCAAGAGTTTTCATGGTCTCATCTGGTCTTCAGTCACTTTACTTTCTCCCCAACGACCCCTACCCCCATGTTAAGTTGCTCAACATCAAAACTGCCTGCCTTAGGGATTTATTTCAGCAATACAACCTCTGTGGTTAAAAAGGAAATTCAGGATTCCAGTAGTTCTTATGTGCTTCTGGTCCCTTACCCCACTGCCCATGGCACTAAAATGTAGTCACACCGTAGTCTTAAATATCAATAAGACCTTTATCCACAGGGTTCGTTTAACATCCAGAACAATTTCAACTAAAAGATCTAGACCTAATCCACCAGCTTGGATGCAGAAAACAGAAGCGAGGATGACTACAGAAAATATAGGGAAGATTATTAACAATCAACAGTATTTTCCACTTTAAAAAAAATCTCATATTTCAAGTATCACATCCAATTTGTTTTAAGCAAGATCTAGCTCTGTCTGCAAATGTATATTGATACTGTAAATGCACACAAATTCATAGCAACCCCTCTTAGCCACTCAAATATAACTGTAAGATGGATTTTCCTTAATGGAGATCAGATACAAACTCCACAGAACTCCAGTGTGCACTCAGGCTGTGTACATCCATCACATCCAACTGTGAAACAGATTCATGTAGCACGTCCCAAGACCCTTTTGTTATTAAAGATCCATTGGTGGTAAAAATAGGGAAGTAAAACAGGAAAAACAAACATGCAGGAATGCAAATTAGTAGTTTAAAAGAAAAGGACTCAACTTTCTAAACAGAATTTAAAATTTTCAAATACACCCAGGCTATGTGGTTGTGCAAAGGTGAAGAATGTTAGACGCACTTGTGACATATTTACAAAATGAATTATTGTTCTCCAAGACTGGTTAATGTTTGCTACCTCCTTCATCCGACCGTCTGGTTACCTCACTGCAGCATGAAAAACTAGGGTAAATCTCGGATACTTCTGATTTGTCATCTCCCAGACCTGTACCAAAAGTACTGCTCGAGTGAGATCGAGAGCGGTGTCTCCTATAGTGATTCGCCTTTTCTATATTGGAGGGAAAAATTTCAGATTTGTGATTAAGTGACTTGAAGAACCAAAAAAAAAAAGAAGAGAAAAATTACTTAAAAGTTTAACAAGGAAGAAAAACAGTTTCTTACTAAATAAAAATCCCAAAGCTCAACAATTATAAGCTCTAGTCACCTACTACTAAAGTCAGCATACATTGCTGAACAATGGTTTATACTCATCGTAAGTCTAGATTTTAAAGGAGAAATGGGGGATGGGAAATGGACAAGAACTAAGAAAACACTGGCAAACTAAAATATTTCTATCAAACATAACATCTGGTTAGATATAATTGCTTTCAAGAATCCCCAAGCATACAGCATTTGTTGCCTTTTCTTTATCTTCCAAAAATTTAATGACAATTTGGCTGATTATGCGGATCAAACTGACTACAAAAGTATTCGAGTTCCTACTTTGCCGTGGGCTTTCAATTTCATTAATGTCAGTAATTAAATGTAGAGTATAAATCAGGAGTTAGAGTCAGACCCAAACGATATGATACATCTATTTATATTGTTTAAAATAACTGCATAACTGTCAAAGCTTCAGTTTGTTAAACACTATCTGAAAGTCTGAAATGTCAAACCATGCTATCACTGTACCCAAACAACCAAACCATTCAGGTTTTGCTTTTAATTAGAAACATGCAGTCTAAATTAAAAGTCAGATAAACTTGCATATCTATACACTGTAAATTTTGCATTATACAAACACTCAGAGATACATTTTAAAGGTACCTAAAAGTCTTTTATTTTAACACGCTCAGCAGAAAACCTCCCTGCTGTTTTATATATAAATCTTAACATCTACCTTTAAAATGTTGGAACAGTGTTTTCCATGAAACAAACCTGTATGTCTCAGCACTTTAGTGCAGTCCAAATAACTGCATTTGAAAGCCCAGAAAACCTATAAAACCGCATTCACTAATGAAAAGCAGACATCAGGAATCTCTGGACACCTTTCTAAGTGAATCTAGAACAAACGAATCTAAGATACATTAAAAATCCCCTTTGGAAAGTTTGTTTTCATAAATGATTAATGGTATTTTAAAGCAGCAGAGCATTTTTTTTTTTTGGTTTTTCAAATCCTCAACTTTAAAATTTACATCACACAATTGGTACCATGAGCTTCTACCACTTAGAGTAGCTTCACTCTCAGGACAAAACCACGTAAATGGGGAGGAACTCAAAATGTAAGCAGTACCAGAGAGCATATGGAGACTTCTAGACTGAATATTGTCTTCCAGGGGATCAAGGTCGAAGATGGAGCCAGGATCTGTACGCCAAACTTTGAGGTCTTTTACCAAAAAGAAGAAATCAACAAATCAAGAATGAATTTTAAAAAGTCAGCATCAGAGTCAAGTGCAAGTCTGGAAAAAGATGCATGTAATCAGCAAACCAGTAATAAGCAAACCCATTGCCCTGCAGACTTCAGAGAACAAAGGGACAGTCACATTCACAAGGATTTAGCAAGAAAACTTTGTGAGCAAACTTCAGTTGCCTGGTTTATTCTTCATTGACCTTCCATCTGGAGCCTGTGACTCATCACCCAACACACCGGACAACTCCCCGCCTCCCTGAACCCCCCAACTCGTGCTGTCCACACGCTGAAAGAGGTACAATGTTTGATTTAAACTCCTGATCAAGGACACGTGAGTAATTCATAGGAAGTGACTGAGAGGTTTTTGTCTGAGAAAACAAAGAACAAAAACTTCTCTCCCCGAAATAAGTGTTTGAAATGTAGGTAAGTGGCAAGCCCACCTTTCATTGGGAGCCCGTGAGTGCAAGCTAACCCACACAAGACACATTTTTTGGAAAAGTGCAATAAAGCACAGCACTGAGCAAGGAATGGTGAGCGATGGAAAGATGAGCAAGGAGCAGTTTCCAGCTCTCAAAGGACCAGAGATGTGTTCACTACCATACTTAGCAATCAGACCGAGCAAGCCAATTCACTCTCCAAATCCAAATACAGTAACTTCCAGGTTTACCCGTGTCTCCAACTAATGGTGCTCAGGTCCTAAAATGATCTGCACAGTACAGTATTCACAACAGGAGAGTGAAAAATCTAGCTATGGACTAAAATGGAGCTTGAGTAAAAACAATTAATTAATGAGCTGGAAGTGGAGCTCTGAGTATCTGTAATTTGTATTATGTGCTGAGCACTACCGTCCATTACAACATAAGTCACTTATGCTTCATGCCATATTTAAGTAGGAACTATTACCATCCCCGTTTTATAAATGGGGAAACTAAGGCATAGAGAGATCAAGTTAGCCGGGCCATGGTTACACAACTAGTAAATAGCAGAGCCTCCAGCAAAAATCAAAGCAGCACAAATTGGCTTAGTCTGAACTGCTCAGGAAATCTCCAAACCTGCATTTCCCTGCCTGGCTCAGAAGTTCACTTATTGAATGTACTTCATTTTACGGCTTCAGAGGAAAGTCCTCAATGGAAAACAGTCTCCCCCAATAAGAAGAAATAAAGTGACTTCCAGATTACCCAATAAGGGAATAATTTAGAGACATATATGAAGCTTTTTAAAAAAAATAATGATTTTTATCCCAAAGGTAGTGAGTACTTAATTCTGAGAGCTCAATTCTAGACAATCTCCCAGTTTCTAACAAGAATTTCACCCTCATTCCTGGCCCCTGATCTAGGGCAGAGGATCCCAGTGTAAGCTGTGCACTGTCAGGGTCTCCACCCTCAAGGGATGAATCGGACTCATATCCCTTGTGAGATGTTAATCCAAAGCAATGAAATTAACTCCATGTTACTTTCAATGAAAACATCTCAACCCATCCATCCAACTTACTGTGATCCTTTTACACGATCACCTTTGGAAGATGTGCAAGAGCTATCAATAGTGTGCAAATGTGTGTGGAATCCCTCTGTGGAAAGGATTTTCAGACTTAACTAAATCATTCAAGGAACTTAGAGCCTTGACCTCAGTACCGTTGCTTTACATTAAGACATTACCCAGTCAGATACACACTTCCCTCACCCAGCCCACCTCTAAACGGCCTTTCACTAGTTCCAAAAACTAAACTCTTCCCTGTGAAGATTATGGATGAGCATGTGGAATGATTCCCAAAAATATTATCTGAGCTTTAGGATCGGACTAGCTACAAAAATACCGACAATAGTCATTTGGAAGTATGGGTCACTGATATGTATTGAAAAGTCAATAATTGTTTTTCTAGCCCTGCCTAGGACTCTGGGATGATCACTGCTGTCTCAGCCGCCATTCAATACTACGTTCCTAGGATGTCCCCAGACAGATGAGAAAAAGAACAGTGAAAAGTTTCCTTTGTCTCAGACTTATGGTGCTTGTAGACAGCTCCCGATTATCCCCATTCAGAGATAATATTCAAAAAAACATAAGCTATTCATATTATGGAATACCATCAGAATCTCTCTGGCACTTTTATTTGTGGTAAAAGGACCAAAATGAGATTATTTCTGTTATTTCTGTCCCCCATATAGACAATGTCTGCAGTACAGTGCATTGATCAAACACATAAGCGAAAGGAAAACAAAATAATTGTTCAACCTTTGTTATCACTCACGTCTGATATTTGGGCTGCTTCTTTGCTTAACAAGTAAGAACACTCTTAAGGCTAGAAAGTTTATTAAAGACAGAGAACGTCCAATAATAGAAAGGATTGGCACTGATAACCCGGCAAGTACCATGGATCCCATTCAACTTGGCACCAGCAGTAGCACTTAGCCTGTGGTTCATTTTCAGTTGGGCACCACATCAAACACTTGAGGAGGAGTCTAGGCCAAGGACAATCTTTTTGACTGTGTGGGCCTGCAGAGAAAGACCATCAGCTTACCGACAATGATTCCAGGTCTCCTGTCCATCTCCACGATGTGAGGATGGACTCCTTTGTAGGCCGCATCGCTGACCACTTGGGTGTTCTTCCTCACTCGCTCCGTCACGGGGTCATCTACAACAGGAGTAAAGCCCCTTCCCTTTGTCTTTTCAAAATCTTCATGATATTTTACCTGAAAAAAGGAAAAACAACATTAACTCAAACTGGAATTTCCTGATTATTACATACCTCACAAAATTTTGATATGGCAACTGCATCTAGATTATTTTCCACATATATGTTTCTAGAATCAACTGCATCTAGATTCAACTGCACGTAGATTATTTTCCACATATATGTATCTTTTTCAAGTACTCCAAAAATAGTGTCTGAAATGTCAGCGTCCTAGCATCAGATATCAAGCACTGATACTTTCACAATGTTTTTCATCATTATGGTTAGCAGCTCTTTTATATATAAACCAGTGTAGTATATCAGGGAGAAGGTTTAAAAGATATATATATATTTTTTTTAATCCTGGTGATTCCCTAAAATGTACTAACTTAAGTACCAATTCATTTTCTATCTTTGAACCTTTAATAGGTATTAAAATGATATGTTATTTCCACACAATTATCCAAGAAAACAGTATTATTTAAAATTAGATTGAGAGTTACAAATAATTACATATATAATTTTTGTATATTATTACAAAAATGGACATATATACTTAAAACGTACACTTTTTTCATGTTCTGATACTGGATCTGTAAATTTTACTATAGACCACTGAATTGTACACTTTAAATGAGTAAACCTTATCACATATAAATTGTATCTCATGAAACTGCTTTAAAAAACACACACATTTTTTATATTCTTTGCAACATGTAAACATACCAAACTCTGTCTTAAAATTAACTGAAAAGAAGTCCAAGCAAATGTTTTTCATAAAACGCATTTATAGTAGTCATGTTAGAAATAAAAACACACCCAAAATATCACTGAGAAAAATTACTTTATTAGACTAAATATGTCCATTACATTCCAGTGTGATTAGAAAGTCCCCCCAAAAGGATGGGCCCAACCACATTTTGTTTTGTATTCATGCTTTGTTAGTTATCCAGATTAATGGTGAACGACGCCGTCAGTACACTTGGTGGGGCCATTCCTTAGTATGTTTTAGTCATGAGAAGAAGGAGCTGGTTGTACCCTACCATTGAAATATGATTTTGTGCTTCTTTGACATATCTCAGACCAGGTGTATCTAAAATCAGACTTGGTCTACCTTTCATCTGTTTATGGTCCTGGGTATATTTTACCTGCAAAGTAAATAGTAGAATGTACTTAACAATAAGACAATTATAAGAAAAAATATTATGTAGCTTTCAAACTTTCCAAATGAGTGAAACACATCCAACATATTCACAAATTCTTTCCCCGTGAAGTTCTTCAGTGAATTACCTACCATTCTAGGGTAACATCTAAAATTTTACTCTCAAAGTTCACCTTGAAAAGCTACAGCAAAGACTGTCTTTGAGAACAGATGTGTGAATGACCAAGATCCACTAACAATGTAGTCAGGAAAAGTGGTTATCACACTTAAATTAAATAGGAAAAATCCAAACCAAATGAAGGCTAAATGTATTTTCCTGTTTCTAGGATTTCCCCATTTTCCACCGTAACACTGTTGAAGAATGCATACCAAGCCCAAGCATCCCTCTATTTCCTTTTCTTTTTTTTCCCCGCCGTAGAGGATAAGAAGCAAGGAGTATCAAATCGAATTTCCTTGTAAGCAGCCACAGCTTAAAGGTAGTTTATGTCAAATACAGTCAGCATCTCTGGGCAGAAATGCCACTGGAAAGCTATAAACTGTTAAACCTAAGTGCTGATTCCCAGGCATAAGAAAGTTCTTCTTGACGGCTGACCAGCAGAACACTGCTGTTCATGAAGCTGGTTATGCATGACATCAGGATGGCCATTACTGAGGACCTGAGCACATATGTGCAATTTGGAACTAAAGCCCTGATACTTACTAAGAGAAAGTGTACTATCCAAATAAGACAATGAGGTGCACACGGGACTTTAATGAGTAACTGAATTCTGTATTCAATGCATTGAAAGATTTTTTTTTCCTCTACATCTTACTCTGGAGTAACGAGTCATTTCTGATTTTGTTTTGCTGAGAACATTTGACAATCCACAGTCAGTGAAATACATCTGCAAAATGACACTTATTTAACTTCCGCATCAAAGACTTTACCACTTTCAAAGACACTGGCTAAAATAACATGAATCACTGTTTAAATAAGCATGATATAGTTTAAAACTAAGCTTTGAATGTAACCATTGGTCACATCTGGAAATAGCAATGAAGGGTTGCAGGATAACATCAAGTTTTGCAATGGAAGTCATCTGAAATAACACATGTACTTACTGCGTGTATCACAAATGTTGCTTGAAAATACATTTTATTTTCACAAGAAAAAAAAAACAGGACTGCAAGTAAATAATAACGGATGCATCCTTTATAACAGACCAAAACGAATAAAACCACTTGCCGAACTAATATTTTCTTGGTTCTTCTTCACTCTTTCCATTTCAGGAGTTACACTTAAAGCTGTAGCTTTTCCCAGTTGACCTTTATAATAAACCTATCATTTCAGAGAATAAAAAATAAGAGGACTGTGAATCAATTCAACTAAATAGGAGTCTCACAGTAGCTATTTTAAAGAGCTAGCCAACAGGTGCCTGGGTGGCTCAGTCCATTAAGCATCTGCCTTCAGCTCAGGTCATGATCCCAGGGTCCTGGGATCGAGCCCTGCATGGGGCTCCCTGTTCAGTGGGGAGCGTGCTTCTCCTTCTCCCTCTGCTACTCCCTCTGCTTCTGCTCTCTTGCTCTCTCTGTCAAATAAATAAATAAAATCTTTAAAAAATAAAAATAAAAAATAAATAAATAAAGAGCTAGCCAAGAAAAGGGAACTATGAAAAAAGAGAATGCTATCTAGAGGGCTAACCATACTTAAAATGCTTGCATTTTAAATCAATCTAGTTTCATTCATCCCGTAGCATGAATCCCTGGGAATGGAGTCACTGCGAATGTACTCAAATATATGGGCATACCATCAGTAAAGCTGTCAGAAGCATTGTATCACAAAGGAATAGGAGAAGAAATGTCTTCGTGGATATTACTTAAAGGTACTCCTACCCATGTACTGCTACGGTTTGTCAGTAATTAACTGCAGCAGAACTTTTGAAAAGATGCCTAAATAGTGACCAACGTCAGCAGAACTTTTGTAAAGATGCCTAAATAGTGACCAACGTCATCCACAAACAGGCCAGCATGCTTCCCACTACTCTATTCTCCTTCTCAGTAACCATGTTCCTTTCTGAGATTAATGAAGTTATGTCAACCGTGATTCTACATATATCAGGAAAAGTTGAGCATCTACTTCTCCAAAACACAGTTGTGAGGCAAAGTGCCAAAAAATGGCCTGCCTTTGTCTTATAATCTGCTCGTAAGACTTTAAAATTTTGAGGAATAAAAGATTTCTTTGAACCTAATAGATTTCCAGGTTTCCTCTTCCAGAGAACCCAATCTATATGTTAATGACTTCAAAAAAGGATTCTCTCAGTCAACTACAGCCATGGATTACAGAAACAGAAGGGGATTAAGAATAGGCCAGGAGTTGGTGCCTGAGTAAAAACTGACAGCCCCCGTGGGTCCTATCCCACGTGATCTCTTCAGGCATGCACACTTCATAATTGCCCCCAAGACATCGCCCAAAAATAAAGCGACAGTAGCTGGGAGTGGGTGATGGGACAGGACAGGCTAATGAACAAGAACACATACTAGTAGGAAAGGCAGTAGGAAAGCTTATCTGAAGGGCCAAGATGCTAGAAGCTACCGCTGCATCCCTTAGGGGAACCACGGTAACTGGAAACATGCAGACAAGATGAGAGGGACACCCAGTGATGGATAGACAAAAATCGTGCTGGCGGTCACTAGGAATGCTAGAGCAGAGAATGCCTGGCTGTACCCACCACACCTCAGACCCTGCAACCTTTCAAGTCAACTGGCCGTCCATGGAGAGCAGAATTGTCAACACAAGGTTATGAAAATGTTATCAACACAATCCCTTCATTGACATGTTGATAATACATTTGCTATCATAAGAAAAAAAGGCTACTAAGGTCACACATTGCTGATGTTCTTCTGGTTTTCCTTAGCTCTCTTCAGCTCTGGTGGATCAGAAATGGCCGTTGCCTGTTTAATTTCTCCTTTGTATTTTACCTGCGGAGGATAAGGGAGAATTTTAATAGAGGGTAGAACGGTCTCCCCTGACACACCGCAGAGGAGGAACCTCAAAATTGACCCTATCTTTACACGTTTTCCCCCACTGTAGTTAGGCAGCCACCTTTCAGTTCATATCTACACCTGGATCCTGATTCTTCTGACGTGGCAAGCACAAAATGTCAGCTGTGCTTCTTTACAATGATTTTTCGATACATACTTTGCTGTCCAATACCGAAGCTAATTGCAAATTCCATAACTAAAAGCCATGGAAATATGAGAGAAACAAGGGAATGAAGTCACTCCAAGAGAACCATAGCAAGGTTACCGGGGAAGCCCAGGGAAGGCCATTTACTCTCATTCTGACCTGAGGCTTTCAAAAGAAGCTAAAGATTCCTGGCTCCTACCACATTCTGGGGGTGTTATAAGAATAAAGCAGTATTCAGCCTGATTTTTCTCCTCCACCTGGAAGAACTCACACTCAAATTTTAAAGCCTTTCAAAATTCCCTGTTGAGGAAGAAGAAGGCTATTATTTATTTTGGTAAAAGTTCCATGAAAGGGTCCAAAAAATGGGAAAAATAACTAGTAGGGGGCACCTTTGAAAGGGCTTTCTGAATTGAGGGAGGCCTGGGTTCAAATCCCAGGTCTGCCTTTCACACTATAGGTTCCTGGCATGTCCTCTGACCTCCCCAAGAATCAGTTTTCTGCACCTGCAAACCAGAAAAATAAATTGTGCCGACCTCATGGCTTCATATAAAGCACTGAGCACAGGAGCCCTATCAGAGGTACCTCCTGATTGTGAACTCTCATTGCTTTATTAGCAATAGATTACTGATGATTGACTAATGTTTTCCATTTTATCTATAGGTTCCCTGCCCTGACCTTATGTCTTCGAACCCCAGCCAAGCCGAGTCTTCTTTTGTTCTATTCTAACAGATAATTTTTTTTTTCTCAAATTGACAACAGACCCACTTCTCTCCAGGTCCTTCCCTGAAAGTAGAGATTTACCTACTCAACTATGAGGTCCATGAGGATAGGAAACCAGCTCCCACCCATCTTTGTCTGCCAGTGGAATGCCTGGCAGATTGGGGTGCTTACTGAAGATTTCTTGAATAAACCACCATGGCTAAATTATAGCAAGACAGTCCCACATTTCCTGGGTCGCAGGAGAGAACCAAAGGGCATGCCCTTGAGCACGTGACCATGAAAAGGAGCATCCAGCCCATGGAGGGCTTAAGCTTTTCAGAGAGCACCGTGAAGAATAAAAATGCGTAACGCTTGCCAACAGAAGAGAACACAGAACCACTTGCCGTACTCAGTTGCTCCTGGTTTCTCCTCACCCTCTCCATCTCCGGTGTGACGCTCACCGGCGTGGCTTTGTGGCACTGCTCTTTGTACTGGAGCTGCAAGACAAGGTGCAAGACAGTGTGGAGTTATGCAAAAGAGGTATGCACCCATCCTCCAGAACAGACTAAAAGGAAATGCCACGCGGCTACAAAGTATCCATTAGTTAAAAAGCTTCATTAGGATTGCAAAGTGAACTATGTATCGCTAATAGACGTCTCCATTACACTCATCCCAGACTCCGAGGTCCTTCTTGTCCACATGTTTTGAATGCCACCTTTTGGCGGTGCTCCTTCGAATTGTGTTATGTAACGGTGGCCTGAGTTTGGTTGTTATCAGTAATAAGAAATTACGCCTTCTGTGAATCCATTTCTTCATAGCACTAAAGCAACACTATCAAATTACTATTTTATACTTAACAATAAAAAGTGTACATTCTTATCATAGCAACGAGGGCTGCCCCAGTCCCATGCTTGCACCTTCGTGACAGACTGTCACTATGGAAACGCCCCTGAACCTCAAAGTTTCCCTTCTCTACAAAGTTCCCACAATGACAGGCCTGTCCTCTGACTAGCATTATGGAAATTTGCCTTACCTACTGCATAAGAGGTTCTCTTTTTTGGCTGGGAGGATCAGACCCCAACATTTGTGGTCAGTTTTCCAGCAATTCCACAACACCCCAGGAAATAAATGAGCATCCAGCACAAAGAAACAGAATGGCATGTCCATCCAATGAATTTTGGACAGGCAAAAAGTAAAACTGGAGGTTAAAATCCTATGATGAGGAACTCCACAGCTTAATGATTTCCTGGAATTTAAATTTAGTGGAAGGGAATTTGTTTTTCTTGCGAGATATCACAAGACCTGAGGGGCCTGCAGATAAAATGGACTTGAGCTGCACACCCTCAGCCGCGAACATGACAGCGAAGAGAAGTTTGATCAGCTGGGAAATAAATGACGAAGAGTCAGGCCCCCTCCGGGGGGCTGCTTTCCTCAGTGGGCACCTTTCTTTGTGCTGTGACATGTAGTTGAGAGTTTGGGCAGATTCTGTGTCCGGGATAATGAATGGTCTTAGTTAAAGTGAGAAAAGGTCCAGTGTAATCTCTACCGCTGGGAGGGGGAAAAATCTGCTGACCGCATGACAGATGTGGAGAAACTGTTGGAGCCACTTGGCAGTGGATGTAAGTTTGGGGACGTAAAGCTGATATTGGCGACTCTTCCTGTCTTGTTTTCATCCATTCACAAACATGTTAAGTGCTCTCCAAGCAAGATCTCACTTAATACCCTCGTCCCTGTTTCATAGGTAAGGAAGTTCAGGCTGGGAGAGGCGGGTGGTTTGTAAAAGTTATACAGCAGGTAAGGGCTGGAGCTGAGATCCAGCCAGCAGACCCGGGTCCACATTCTTCCTGCGACTCCAGTATGGTCCCAGTTTCTACTGTGTGCACATCCCTGGCCGTATGCCAGGCCGGCTATCAAGAGTGCTATGATTGCCAATATTAGCCTTTCATTAAATTAACTCACTATTATTTGCAAATAAAGTTATTTTAAGGAGGTGTTATGTTTCTCTGACACACTGAAAACTACTAACCTATTCTTTTAGAAAAAGGGACACATTAAAACAATTTAATCCCTAAACCAAGGCCTGCTCACGGGCGGAGCACCTGCCACCTATATACGTGAACCACACTTTGGGAAACAGTGGGACTCCCGACTTGCTTCCTTAGGGCCCAAATTACAACTTCTCTCTGCACCATCAGGTCCTTGCCACCTTTTACCCCACGCACTCATCACACTAAACCTTCCCTTCCTTGACCGGGACTTGGTCCCTGAACAGATTCGGTTTGCTCTGCCAGGAAGAAGCTTCCTCACAAAATCCACCCCAACTTTTATTAATCCTTCAAGATCTAACTCAAATGTTACTCTTCCTCCGAGGGTCTTTCTCTCTCTCTCACGGACATTGCCTTCTTTCTCTGCATTTCCACAGCACTTTGCAAAAGGAATCATTACTTATCATTAAAGGAGACACTGAATGTAATGTACTCCACAAGCATAGTAAACAGTCAGTAAATATTAATTATTGTGATAGCATTTCATGCATAATAGGTATTTATTCCCATGTCTGTTTCTCCTAGAGACCTGGAGATGTCGCACTCAGCTTTGAATTTCCCCAGATTAAGAACAGAGCAGGCATTCAGTAACATGTCCTTTGATGGATAAATGCACACAGGAGGTGTCATGCTAGTTCAGCCTAAAGATGGGGGGATTCTTAGCCCCACCTTTTAGGAACTGGCCTCCTACAACAGTGTGCATCGTCCTGGGACTTCACCCGTAAAAGTACCACACCCTCATTGCCTACTGCCATTCAGTAGAATAGAAAATGGTACTCAAAGAAATATGATCACACATTGCTGATGTTCTTCTGGTTTTCTTTAGCTCTCTTTAGCTCTGGAGGATCGGAAATGGCCGTTGCCTGATTCATCTCTTCTTTGTATTTTACCTGCATTACGTATTTAAAAAACAAGGTGGTAAATGATTAAAAACAAAACAAACAAACAAAAGCAATGTGGGTTTTAATTCAACGAGAGGCTTAAAAGATAGGTAAGAATCCTGCATTCGTAACTATTACACAGTTGAATTTTTTAGACTCCAACAGTAATTTTCCTTCAGTGGGAACACAAATTTTTATTTTATGGGATGTTGCTTTCAGGATTCCTTTATCCTAAAGTGCAAATGAACTCATATCTATTCACCTAGCTATCACCATAGGAGTTACTTAATTAAAATAAGCAAATGTTGCTTATGAAAATAAATTTTATCATTAGGCAAAGACACAAAAAACCTTAGAAATCATCGTAAGTGATATAATAACTTTTAAGTTTTTAGCCAAAAAGCAGTTTCTACTCATTAATGTGTGAGTTTAAATGTACCATGGATTTAAAGGCAAAGGCCAAACTGTGTTAGCTACAGAGTCTTGGGAAGACTGCTTGTCTGGGTGAGAGCACACAAATGATCCAGAATAAGGAAAAAAAAAAAAGTGGCCACAACCAAAGAAGAAAAAGAGGAAGGTGGAAGGAAATGTACAAAAAAGCAGAGGCCAAGGCCCCTGATCTCTAACGAAGGCCCGGTGGCAGGAAGTCAGGATCATGTTATACAAATCCAGCCTATATACTGGCACCCACTTTATTCAAAAGCTCTTCCTTCAAATCTACTTAGAGGAAGATCAACCAGACAAAAATGGTAATGCCAGCACACGGTTATGCATGAGACAAGAAACAGCTCTTTAAACTTATGAAATGATTAGTAATGCCATCGGATCAGGTGGTATTTTAATATGTCTAAAATTCATGGAAGATTAGATTTAAGAAAAAGGATACACATAAATATTTATATGTAGCAAATGCAGGCAAGACCTAAGAGGCACATGTTGAAATTTAGCAAAGACTTAAATCTACATAAACCAGGTTTTTAGAAATCACTTGTTAATATTTAAATGATTAAGGCTGAAATCCATGCTGACAGTGACAAAGAAATGGTAACCTACGTATCTATGTCCTAGTAGCCTTAGATTTAATATGAGTAACAATGGCACTATGAGTCCAGATCCGAAACAGTTAAATTGACAATACACTGAGAAAGACCACCTCTAAATAAGATTCAAAAATAGTTCTTAACAGGGAAAGCTAATAGCTAAAAGGCTTGTACATCGGAGGTGGAAAATGTCGAGATCTTTAAATGTTAGAGAATCATATCTTGGTTTGACAGATCTGGCTAATCTTGAAAGGGCAACTTTCCATTTGAATACTAAGCAGGAATTCATGGCCCAACCGTATAGAGATACAGAACAACGCATTTATTGTTTGCTGGAAGAGGCAGTGGAACGTTGGAAAAAGAAATGATATAACATACTACTTTGCGTGACTTTCCTCGGGTGAGCAGCTAAACGTGATTAAAGATGAACATTTGTGTTTCTCATACGACTCTAAACTAATCAAAATGGCACAGTCATTTTACTGTAGGCAATGGAATTGCATACTACAGAACATTTATAACACTGTATTTCAGTACACTGATGGGGACATTTCAAATATGATCACTGGAAAGTGAAGGAAACATTTTATCCTTCTCTGCCAAACTAAGTTCCCCCACCGGACCCCAGCATGGCTGGACACAGGCTCTTGCCATAGTGGATCAGAACACATTTGCACACCCTAACCGTAACCTCCTTCTCCTCATGCTTTCTTCCGGAGACAGTTTCATTCATGCTACAGAAATTTTATTACACTAGTAGTCTGCAGATTTTTCGAAGTATGCTTTACTGCAGCATTACCTTGCCTTTCCTACTCTTACTCCACAAAAGCCCATGCACACTCCTATTCTAGAACACCACATAACTATCCTGACAGATACATCTAACCGGAGATGTTCTACTTGAATTACTTAAAGGCTCTGCCTCCAAGAGTGAAGGTGAAGAGAAAGGTCAAGAAGGGGATTTCAGGAAAGAACCTTTACGACTTCCTCAAGAAGAAACTAAATACACTCCATATCCATGGAAGAATTCCTGGCCAGTCTCCATTGTAAATGTCAAATACTGAATGGAAAAGTTCTTACCTATAACAGTAAGCGCCTCCTCTACCCTTCCCCCCTAAGCTCAAAGGGAGTTGGAGGCTAAGTTATATTACAAATTATAGTGAAGGTGCATGTTTTTGCTTTGCTGAAAGCTGGAAGAAGTAGAAAGCAAACAGGGCCTCTGAAACCTTCCCTTCAGCCACCAAAGAGATGTACTAAGGGCCTTAAATCATTCTGCAGGGTAAAATTTCTTTCCACCAAGTTGTGGAGAGGTACTAAAATTTATCTTTTCTCTGAAAAAATTTAATACAGTTAAAATTCTGTTCAAAACATGAAATCTAATCCTAGATTTCATTACTGGACTATTAAAGTGATCTATCTGTCGTGCACTATGATATATCAAGATGAAACACTGCTTTAGCTTCAAGGGGAACAAGGCTACAGTTTTCCTTCTGAAAGTGAGACTTTTGATACTTGATGAAATAGCATTTTAACAAAGTGAAGAATAAAAGAAAAAGCAACCAGTTTAGCAAAGAACTAAAAACATTTATCTAGTTTATGCTTGCTTTTGGAAAGGATAATTAATGCTATAGAGCACTTACTGAACTAATATTCTGCTGATTTTTCTTCGCTCGTTCAGTCTCTGGAGTATATTTTACTGCCATGCCAGCTCCTACTTCTTCCTTATAAAATACCTTTATTATAAGAGAAGGAAAGAATAACTATAAGCTTATTGGAATTCAGGTCCTAGATCAGATTCTTATAAAAGAAAGACAATTTCTCAGGTTCTCAAGTAATGTGAATACAGCTTCTATTTATGAGTAACAGGTTATATCAATCAATTAAATAATCCATTATGAGAATAAATGTCCCATTTGAGTCTCACATTCCATAGCATCCCACCAGTAATGCCCAATACCTCTTCTAGGGCACGTGTGGTAGCTGACGTGGCTGCAGATTATTTGGTCTAAGAATTTAAGTGGGCAAACCAGAGTTTCTTTCTTCAAATACAAACACATATCACATGTGTGTTTGAGAAAAATCAAAGCACATTTTAGAAAAGCTTACTAAGCAGTATCATTTAATTCAAAAACGGCATGAAATTTTAAGCAAGTGCTATTCTCCAAACACAAAGATGCCTTCATTCTCTTCAAAGAAAATTCTGGCTCTATCACCAATATCAAAAGTTTATTCAGTCTATTTCCCGTCTCTGCTACATTAACCTTCCCACATGTCTCTCCACTCCTACCAACAATCCACCCCTTTCAAAGACAAAGCAAAACAAAGAAACAAAATGTTTTACCAAATGGTAGAATAATTATAAAAAAGGCATATGAGAACTATTCCCTCTGTTAAGATTTGGTAATTCAGTGGGCCCTAATGGGGGTTGGGAGAGTATGGCCTCAGAGATGTTTTCTTCCACAAGACAAAAAATCTAGAAGACCATGGAATCACAGGAGAAACAGGTGGAAACAGCTTTTTTCCCCTGATCTTCCCTTCCAGCCAGACTTTTCCATTTCTTAGCACACCTGATTTGAAGGCCCTAGAGGTACCTGACTAGCACACATTGAGGTTTAGAGTTTACCAATTTATTACAAAGTAGAAAATATTCTGAAAGTCCTCAGACTTAATAGAATTTATATTTTGATGAGACATTTACTTAACTACTAAGTGACTAATGAGCTAGTTGTACATAAAAATATTGGCTGTATGGTCAATTTTTATAATCTTAGAATTCAGGTTTATATATCCATTAAACATAGACCCTATCCCTTAATTAATGCTTGCTGATACAATTCCTATTCCTCAAAATAAAAATATAAAAGTTTAGGAATCGGTTACAAGATAGTAAATCTCTAAATACATTATCATTGCAAATCAGTGACCAGGAAGGAAATCACATTATAGGATTATTCTCATCTCTGAAGTAAAATCTGTGTGGAAGATTAAGATCTCTTTCCTAATTAAAATTTTAAATTTCAGTTAAAAAGAACTCTTGCTTGTACCACAGAAGAAAATTTGAAATTGTAATTCCAAAACAATCATGATAAATTATACCTTGTAAGAACATTTGGTACTATTAAAGAGAAACAAAGTGCCCAAAATGGAGTCACTCATGTTAAGCCCCATCAAGACTTAATACCTAACCTAATTGCAGTTTCAGCCTCTCCCAAGAGTGGAATTTTAAACCAATCAGTCTGGAATTTCCTGATCAGCACTAGAGAGGTAATCTGCATGGTAGGCCCCCACCTTTTTCCCTAAGGGAACGTGACCTTGTCTGAAGCAATCCTATCTTTTCTCTTGCTAATAACTTCCTTGTCCTGCCAGTTTCTGCCTATCAGAGCCTTATATTTTGTACATCTCTACTGATCATCCTCAAATTTGTTAGAGGGGATACTGCCTGATTCATGAATTATTGAATCAAGCCAATTAGATCTTTAAATTGACTGAATTTTGGTTCTTTAACAGAACTTACTATTTTTTAAAGAAGGAAAGATAATACATTTGACAGAAAAGTCAAACAATGCAACAAGCAATCAGACAATGAGGAAAAAGGCCCTCCTTCCAGAAACAAAATTTCCAGGTGGCCACTGAAAAGCAGTAATGGCTACTCACCGCACTAATGTTCTGTTGAGTTGTCTTGATTCTCTGAATTTCAGGAGTATCTGCCACAGAACTATAGTTAGAAAGCATCTTTTCTGCTTCGTCTTTATACTTTTTCTAAAAATAGAAACAGTTCATATGAATCTGAAAGTGTGTGTGTGTGTGTGTGTGTGTGTGTGTGTGTGTATGAGAGACAGAAAATGATGCTGCTTCCAACTCTCCCATTCCACATGGCTCATATCATCATAAATTATATCTTATAATTCAAAGCAGTTGTTGATGTGACAGCAAAAATAAAGAGAATAAGCAAACAGAGTAAGCAAATAGCCCAGAGAAGCAAGCTTGCCTCTTCTCAGGCAATGGGTCCCACCCTAGTCCATTCAAAGGCCTCTGGAGGGCATGGCCTCTGTGCCACTCTAAGTTTAGAAACTTGTGATGTTGTAACTTACAATAAGAAGTTTATATTTGGTCTTTGTCCCTACTTCTGGCACAGAGTTCCCAAAACCCTCAGAATTTCCTGTGATGAGAGCGGAAAGAATATCTTTTGTTATGTTAATGAAGCGATTTTTGGACCACACTTAAGGATGGGACTGGTTGCCAGGGGAACCAAACAAGTGATTAAAGGGTTGGACTTCCAGTCCCAACCCCCAACATCTGGGAAGGGGAGAGGAGCTGGAGGCTGAATCAATCACCAATAGCCAATGAGTTGATCAATCATGTCTATGTAATGAAGCCTCCATAAAAACCCAAAAGGAAAGGGTTCAGAGAGCTTCCGGGTTGGTGAACCTAGGGAGATTTGGGGGAAATTGTGAATGAACCCGGAGAGGGCTTGGAAGCTCTGTGCCCTCTCTAATACCTTGCCCTATGCCTCTCTTCCATCTGGCTGTTCCTGAGTTATATCCTTTTATAATAAACTGCCAATCTATTTAAGTTCTGTGAGCTGCTCTAGCAAATGAATCAGACCCACAGAGGGGGTCCTGGGAACCTCTGATCTATAGGCTGTTGGCCAAAAGCACAGGTGACAAACTGAGCTTGCAACTGGCATCTGAAGAGGGGAGGAGAAGCATCCTGTAGGACTGAGACCCCTAACCTGTAGAACTTAGTGTTGGCTTCCAGTAGACAGTGCCTGAGTTGAGTTGAATTCTCCAATCCCTTGCTGATGTCCGAGAATTGCTCGTTGGTATGGGGAAGCCTCCACATACATGCGTTGGAACTGGTGACCAGAACCCAGAAGAAACCTACCCTCTCATGAGCAGCCCCAGCCCCTGTTCAAAGTAGTCCTATAGCTCCTGCAAGTAACCTGGCTCTCAATATCCACTATTTCTACACTTCTGAATTCATGCTTTGTTTCCTGCTTCAGAAGAAGATACATTTGATAATGAAAAGATACTAGTATTTCCGTAGTTGAGATTAAAATCTCAATTTTCAAATATATTACTATAAGCTCCAATACAATCTGGGCCATATCTTTGACGAGTACCCACATTTACATAGTTGTAGGTATGGTTTGACATTAACTCATTGAATCAATCCCACAAGCAGATAGTATTACTATCCCCTCTTACAGATGGAGAAACTGAGACACTAGCTAAGAAGTGTCAGAGCTTGGATTTAACCCAGGCCCTCTGGGTCCAAAGTCAGTGAAGTTAACCATTATGGCGTACTGATGCTTGTTAGGAAAGTAATTATTGTTCGTGTTGAGACTCAACACAGCACCATTACAATCTCATAAGAATTCCATTGTATCCTATATAATTAAAATTCCTTGAAGTTAGATGTATCCTTCTGTCACACACAAACAAAGCAACACTGTGAAGTTAAGGCAGGAATACTGACAATTCAGGCATCACTTCCTCTGGGAAGCCTTTACCTTTTGGGCGCATGTATCACGGTTTGTAATACTGTATTTGTGTGATTATTTGATTATTAAACTATTAGATTAGTTCCCCAAGGGCAAAACCATGTCTAATTTTGCATGAAAGTGGGTGCTCAGAAAGTATTTACTGAACTAATGAATGAGATTGGCATTTTTGAGACAGTAACTTTTCTCCACTGACTCGTATGACCATTTACCTATTTTATGTACTTATCAATAATTTCAGTCACTTGATATAGTTAGAGCCAACTTCTCCAAGTTCAGGTGGCACCATGAGATACTGAGGACAGAGGAACATGCACTTCAGGACCATCCCAACAGCTGGGTCATCTGAGGAGGCTGAGAAGCAGATAACTCCTTTGACATGTGCCTCTGTCATCTGGATACACTGTTTGGAACTAGGAGATGTTCGGATACTGCTTATGTTTTAATGGGAATTTTAACAAATGTGGTCAGATTTTGTTGAAAATTATTTTCATCATAAATCCCATTAATCAAATGTAATTCCTTGGTCAATTTTCTATAACACTTTTAATTTTCTCATTCCCCTTTACTATTTTTTTTTCTGTTGGGATTCCTTCTTTTCCTTGTAAATTTTATAGCAAAGACAATATTCACTAACGAATTTTTTGCCCAGTTCAGATTTTATCAACAACTTCTTCCATTAAATATATTATTTTGTGGTTATGTCCATATCCAACTTTTCTAGAGCTTTTTTTGTACAGGTCTTTCTAGAGGATGTGTGACCGGTCCACTTGGTAAATTAAATTTTACCAAGAAGACAGTTCTTCTCTTAATTTTTAGTTAATACTCAATTTCACCTTCTACCTTGTGCAGTTTTATTCACTGTTTGTTGGCGCTGATTATTTTAAGGATAATATTCATGATGAGAGGGTTAAAAGACAAAGTCATTTGTAATCTCTTTTCTGTAGTGTGAGCACTGGACTCAAGTGTGCACTAGAGTCAAAAACTAAAAATAAAAAAGATCACAGTGTCATTGGACTCAAACAGGAGAGATCAGATACTCAATAAACAGCCATTGAATTGACAGCAACTGTCCCTTTCATTAGTGAGATTAATCAAGTTTGACCAATAGCTCCTAGAATAGAGTGCACTGACTTTGAATACAGTGCCCTCCAAAAAATATCAGTCTTAGAGACACACAAAGCACATGGTGACTGGAGATCAGAAAACAGTATTCTGAGCATCTTCACTCCCTACCAACCTGGCTATAGATCTCAGATGCCCTCTTGGCTCGCAGTATGTCCGGGATGTCCATGCTCACTTGCATTCCTTTCCCCTTAATTTCATTTTCCAAGTCTTTCTTGTATTCTTTCTAAAAGAACAGAAAATAACCTTCAGAGCTTTGCTTAGCCTCCCATAGCAATGCAGATATGTATGTGTTTGACTCTCAAGGCCACGCGTGCAAAAACGCCATTTATACTTTTTCTAAACACAGTTCATTGTGTCTGTTGTAAACTTTGCATCCTGTGGGTTTCTCACCTGGCTGGCCATTTCCGATGCTTTCTTGGCTCTCTGGATATCAAGAGTGTCTGGACCCACCAGCATGCCCTTCCCTTTTATTTCAGTCTCCAGATCTCTCTTATAGTCTTTCTGGAGAAAACAAAACATGCAATGAGGGCTCCACAAGAACGTGAAAAACTGTTGACAACTGTGATGGCATTTTCACATCAGGATTGTGGTCTTGGACTCTTACTTCTCTTATTTCTATAAAACTAGGAAGAGTTTTAAAACTTGTGGGAGGAACATGGCTCAAAGTGACTTAGTCACAAGTCATCAGAAGGCTTCTATCTACTAACCTGAATTAAGAAAGAAAACACAGTTAGCCAAGGGGGAAGTTTTTCTATTTCAGTACAATAAAATTGATCAGTTATTGGTTAACATATAACTCATTTGATGAATATCAGTAAAAGGTCATTGTAAAACTGTCACTTTTTGCTCTGTAGTGAATGACTGTTGCTGGTTGCTTCCTTGGAATGCAACCACTCTTGCCCCCACCCCCAACAGCCCCTGATTTGCCACTGGGCAACTCACAGCTCCCCCATGCTAGACCATTCCGCTCGGGTGAGACTGGCCCAAGGCCGCGGGTCCTGTTGGGTTTACATAACCCATTATACCCCATCCCCGGTCCTTCTGGTTTTCTCCAGGGATGAGTAGGATTCTTTTTCCACACAAGATATCAAGAAGCTTTCCCTTTCCTTCTAGACATGGATGGAGAAGGAAGGAGCTCCAGGAGCTGCTATGAGCCTCTTTGCAAATAGAAGAAAGCCTGCCTGAGAACTGAAGAGAGAAACTGAAACTCAAATCACATTGTCTGAGCCCCAGAGCAAGCCGAGCCTAGGGCTTCCTCTACTGTTCGGTTCTAAGAACAATAAATTATCTGCTTGTTTTGAGCAGCCTGAATTGAATTATGTGTTACTTACAAAACAGTCATAATTACCCACACACAACATGTCTCTGAGACTCATCACATTTTAAAATTGATCATAAAAAATTGAGCAGGCTGTACACTTAAGTTGTATACTTTTCAGTGTGTATGTATTCTTCAATGAAAAATTTTATTACAAGATTAAAAAAACTATTGACTGTATCTAATTACATTTCTTCTAAAACAGTTATTTCCTCTTGTGTTGACATACTTTAGATGTGACATAATCTAGATTTGTAGATTCCCTGCAATGGCGTATATGTTGGCCTGCTTATTTGTGATATCCTAAATTTTAAAAGGTATAAACAAAGATCTCAGTCTCTGAGAAATATTATATTTTTTCCTATCTTCTACTCATAACTCTGTTTATTTTCACTGACTTAGAGTCTCAGTTTCACTTTCCTGAATACAGTTTAAGTAATAGCATTTAACTTTCAAAATCACAATACTCCATTATTACTATGTGTGTATAAAAAAAAAAAAATCTCTAGTAAGCCTCTTTAAGGCCCCCAAACAAAGCACATCATTTGAAGGACAATGTATGTAGAAAGTGAGGCACTGATCATAGACAGCCACCAAGGTTCCTGGGTAGAAGTATGTCATTTAATTTTGCAATATGAATGTTGAAATCTAAAAGCGTCCTCAAGCACATAAATAGACTAGGTAGGACACTAGTTACATCATTTACATACTAATGCATAATAAAACACCCTAAAACTTTGAAGGTTTAAAACAACATGATGGCACCTAGACTCCAAGAAGGCAAGCCCCAATACACGAGGGTTTTAGAGGCTCTGCGGGAGTCGTGTTTGCTAATATCCTATTGGCTAAAGAAAGTCACATGGTTAATTCCCTAGGTTCTGGAGGGTTTAACTATTGGGAGCGATTCACGCAACAGTATATACCACATTAATTTCTTTGAAAAGTTAAGCCTTGAACTATAGCAAAGTCCCAAAGTTTGGTTGAAATGGATGTGTGAGCCTATCAATTGGGCAAAATGGGACATGGCTAGGATTACATACAAATGAGAACTTTGGATTGCAAAGATAATGGCCTGGCCATAATTGTAATGTACATATAACCAGAGGGCAGCGGACTCCCCTAGGCCTTTCCTTCCCCTAGCTTCTCAGGAACTAGTATACAGTCCTAAGGTACAGAAATTGAAAGCAGCATATCGTTGAATAAAACAAATCCATACCATTCCAAGGAAAGACATGACATTCCAACGTTTCATGAAAGGAATATGTCTTAGAAGCCTGTTCTTAGGAAAAAGTGTGAAATGCAAAATTTATATTCTTTCCACATTGTTCTCCCCAGGGAAAGGATGCCTTCTTTTGGCTTCACCCCTCAGGATGATTTCGAAGGCTCTCCTCCAGCCTCGAATCCCTCACTCCCAACCCCCTTACTCCAAGCCAGTAACTTGAACTAACACTGCCCCCTCCTCATAATAAGAAATATTTTAGGGGGGCGGAGCAAGATGGCGGAGGAGTAGGAGACCTAGATTTTGTCTGGTCTCAGAAATTCAGCTGGTTAGGGATCAAACCATTCTGAACACCTACGAACTCAACAGGAGATCAAAGAGGAGAGTAGCAACAACTCTCTGAACAGAGAAGCGACCACTTACTGGAAGGTAGGACGTGCGGAGAAGTGAATCCGAGGCGATATTCGGGAGGATAGACGGCGGGGGAGGGGGCCTCCGCCGGCCGCTTCTGGCAAGTGCTAGAGCCGCGGAGCACAAAATCGGAACTTTTAGAAGTCGGCTCCGCTGAGGGACGTCGCTCCAGTGGCTAAGCGGGGGTGGAACCCTCGCGGGACAGTGGGGTCTCAGGACCCTTGGGGTCACAGAAAGACTGGGGGAGCCTGAGTGCGCCAGAGCTCCCAGGCATCGGAGCGGGGAAGCCGGCTGCAGAGACGGAGCTGAGGCGCGGGCTCTCAGCTCGGGGTTGCCATAAACTGTGATCCGCGGCCCAGTCGGGCCTCTGCTCCTCCAGCAGGGACCCAACAAGCGGCAGAGCCGGGGAGACTCCCCTTCCTCCCCCAGGGAGGAGCGGCGCGGGAGCACACCGCAGGGATCTGCTGGGTTTGGAGACTCCACACGGGGTCGGGTGCCAGAGATAGAAATGCTCGGTCACAGGCCGGGTGAGCACGGAGTGCGGCCGGAGACCGGGGACAAGGGAGTGACTGCTTTTCTCTGGGGGCGCACTGAGGAGCGGGGCCCCAAGTTCTCAGCTCCCCCGGGTGGAGATTGGGAGGCCACCATTTTTGCCCTGGTCCTCCAAAGCTGTACCGAGAGCTTGCAGGGAACAAAAGCTCCTGAGATCAAACCCGAGCAGCTTGCTTAGCACGAACCGACAAGGGCGGGGCAATTCAGCCTCCGGCAAAGACATTTGGAAACCACAGCAACAGGCCCCTCCCCCAGAAGATCAGCACGAACAGCCAGCAAGCCAAGACCAAGTTTACCGATCAAGGAGAACGGGAGAACTCCAGCGCTAGGGGAATACTGCACATAGAATTCATGGCTTTTTTTTACCATGATTCATTAGTTCATCAAAGTTAATTTTTGTTAACTGTTTTTTTTTCTTTTTCTTTTTCCCTTTTTCAACCAACATCTTATCAATCTCTTTTTTTAAAAAAAAAAAAATTTTTTATTTTTCATTTTTAGAGTCATATTTT